CGTCGACCACCGTCACGTGGTAATCCTCTACACGCCTCGTCCATCGTCTCAGTAGAAGCCGCAGATGACGCAGCGAACGCCGTACATGGAAGCATGCGAGCGCGCGAATGCGCCGATCCTGCGTGAACTCTTGCGCGCCGGTATACGCCCTTCGTCTGCCGGTACCTATACGACGGCTAGGGGCCCATTTGCACTGGCGTGACAAGCAGAACAGGTGCGCCGCAGACGGAATCATCGACGCGACGATCCGCGCCATGCACGATGCGGCGGCGAGCACGTGGACGCCGGCGACGAGTGGTCTCTTTCCGACGCCCTTTCGCAAAGCCGGACTCGCCCTTGCGTTTGTCGCCAAGTGCCAAGCAACCGCGTCGGCTCGTGCGCAGAAGTGTGCGACGCGGGTGGCGTTGGCCGCGCGGATCGCACTGCAGAAGCGATTGGTCGAGTGCAAAGTGCGGTACGCCTGCCACGTAGGACCATCATTCTACGATAAAGAGTGATGGTAGATATGACACGGAAAAACGGCAGAGCGATGGGCAGCTCGTCTTGATCCGACGTCGCGCTACCATGGACGCGGTCGACGAGAGGTGCGTCATCACACATCATCCTCTCACTCTCTATATATAAGGCGCTGTCGCATGTGCACAGGTTTGACGGGGCGCGGGCCGCGATTCTGGTCGATGCCGAAGCCGCTGTGCTCGCGCGCCGCCGGGCGTCGGAGCCGCGGGCACTGTGCACATCCGACCTATTTCGCATTCTTTCATACTGCAGTCGGCATTGGTTTGACACAAACGCAGTGCGATCTCAACGACAACCACCAGCGTACGTGCCCATGGCACCGTCGCACGTCCGCATCTCGGCCAGCGTGCCGTCGCGCGCAGTCGCCGACCAGCTCGCCGCCAACGCCGTCACTATGGATGTACGGCGCCGCCTCCATCGTCGAATCCGACTCATCGCTACAACGCACAGGCGATTTGTGCTGAAATGCTAGCGATCGAAGCCACGCAAACCATCGATCCGAGTCGTGGCGTCTCGTGCCTCAAGGAATCAGGCGAGAGCCAAGCCACTGTGCGCGTCACGATTCTGGAGGCGCGTCACCTCCCGCGCCGCGTCAACCGGCAACTGGTACGAATTGCACGCGCGCTTTCGCAACAGGACAGCGGTAGATCGATCCGTTTGTACGGGTTCGCGTGCTCGAAAAAAGCGGCCAAGTCGCTGCGCCTTTCGAAGCGACGGACCCGCGCTTCGACGACGAGTGGCCGTCCTGGGACCATGCGCTGACGTTTCCCGTGCCGTCGATCCACTGCGACGTGCACGTTCAAGTTGTCGATACGGCCAGCGGTCGCCCCGAGCTCGCGGGCGAAGTGCGCCTCCCGCTACGGTCGTACCTCGACCAAAAAGAGCACGACGAGTGGCTCACTCTGCCGCCGACGCTCAAGCAGCAGCTGCTCGAAGGCCCCAACGCCCGGACGCCGCCGGCGACGCTGCATGTTCTCATTGCGTTCACCCACGCCAAGGTATAAAGCAGCGTCCATCATCACCTGCTCCTCAATACTATGCTGCTTCGCAGGGGCTTGTGCTCTACCGGGCATTGCACGCTGCAATGCGGACGCGTCAAGCCCTTCTGGAAACCCATCGTGCGGCAATCAAAGACCATTTGGAACGACAACTCGCTCAACTCGCGACGTGACATAACATCACCAACAACGTACTATATTAGCTCGAGGGCTGGTCCGTCTCGACATGGCTGCCGAAAGGCTCGTCAACATCCGACTCGTCGCTCTCAAACACCACCTTCTTGGGCGCGGGACGTGCGTTGTCGCCATCGAGCTTGCGCAGGTCCCGGAGCAGACTTCGGAGGAGCGGGCCTGGCGGATACGCGTCCGTGTAGATGGCCATCGCGTCGTGAAGCGATAGCTTGTCTTGCGTCATGAGGTGGTGCAAGAGGAAGAACGCCGCGCGGGACATGGTGCCGCATTGGAGACCGATGCGCACACTCGTCGTCTCTTTTTGCGCTTGGATCGCAGCGATCGCGTCGTAGAAGCTCGCAATGAGGGGCGGGTGTGGAGACGACTTGCTGAGGAGTCGGACGTGGAACACCGGCACCGAGAGCTGCGCCGGATCGTAAAAGTAGCCGGGGCCGTCCATCGAAATGATAGCATCGAGGTGACCGTGGGTTGCATTCCAGGCTTCAAACGCACGCGGTGTCCAGTCGTCGTCAAGTGCAATATCGTAGCGTGCGTCCAGCATCGTCTTGAGCGGCAGGAAGGTCACATGGCTTCGCGACGTGATCGGCGCACCGGCGTTCGGGATGTGCAACCACTGCATCGGCGGCGGCTTGCGCGCATCATGCATCTCCTTGGTCACGTGTGTGTTCTTGGTCTTCTTGCTCGTCTTCCTCGAACGACTGTCCTTGCTGTACTTGGCGAGGGCCCATGCCGGCAGTGACGTGGGATACGTCACCACGTCGTTGGGTGCATACGTCTTAAAGAGCACTTCAATGTACAAGGGCTTGAGGAGCCCGGGCGGCCGCGCATCGGCAAACGCGGCCAGCGCGTCGACAAGCGAGAGACCCTTGACGCGGACGAGATAGTGGATCACGAGGTACCCCGTGCGGTTCAAGCCGTGTGTGCAGTGCACGGCGATGGCCAGGCGATGACGAGGACGTGTCATCGAACGTCGTGACGAGCGCAATGAACGCGTCGACGATCGCGGCCGTCGGCGCGGCGTGGAAGCCTTCGCAGACGAGCTTCTCGCGGCGGATGCCAGGAATCGCGTCGTAGTACTTGGTCGTATTCGTGAGGTCGATCACGAGCTGCACGTTGAGGCCAGCGGCCGCTGTGGTCGCCACAAACACCTCGGGCGTCCACGTCTCGCTGGGCGGCACGCTATAGTCGTCGCTGAGCAGCGTTCGCATCGCAACCAAGTTGGTGTTGGCGATGCGCGTTCCGATCTTTGGTGCGTTGCGCCAGTTTTCCGGCATCCGCCGCAGCTTTGGCGGACTGCGCCGGTCGTTGCGGCGCGTTTCCATGTCTTGGACGACCTTCTCGTGCAAGTCGCGGTCGTCTTCGGTGGCTTTAAAGACATCGGCGCTGGCGAGTTGATCTTGGGACCGGTCGTACTTGGTCATCGCCCACGACGGCAGCACGGGCAGCTCGAGCTCGTCGACTTGATCGAACATCTCAAAGAGCTTCTGGACGTACATGTGCTTGATGAGACCGGGCGGGCGCGCGGCCGCAAACGTGCGGAGAGCGTCTTTGACCGAGAGGCCTTGGGTCGCCATGAGGTAGCGCACGACGAGGTAACCCGTGCGGTTGAGGCCATGCGTGCAGTGCACGACAGCGACGGGCGTTAAGTCGTCGTCCGGTGCATACTGCGCCAAGGAGGCTTCCCATCGCGACACGACGTCAATGAAGCTGTGGACGACGTCTTCGGACGGGACGTCGGCGAAGCCCTCGACGCGCATCTTGACGTACTCGACGTTGCGCGTCTCGAGCTCGCTCGCGCCGCTGTAGTACTTGTACGTGTTCGTGAGATCGATGACCATGTGCACCGAGAGGCCTTGGTCGTAGCACGTATCGAGCAGATCGAGTGGCGTCCAGCTCTCGTCACGGTCCACAGTGTAGCTGGCATCGAGCGGGACGCGGGCGCAGACGAGGTGGCCGAAGCGACCGGCGGCGATGAGCCCACCGACCTTGGCCACGTCCTCCCAGTGCTCTGGCGGCGACCGGCTACTGCTTCTCATGACCCGGTCCCGACTTCGTTTCATCATGCTCCTGGCCTTTTCGCACCTCGCTCCAATCAAATCACATCCGGATACACTATTATCCGGTCTTTTTAGACGGCCCGCGAGGTGATTTCAATGGTCTTGATCGCCGGGAGGCGCTGCAGCACGTCGCCGCGGAGGCTCTCGATGGCCTCGGGCGACGCGGGCGGCGAGATGCGTACGCGGAGGTGCTTGAGCGCTGGCAGCCGCGCCTCCGAGAGCGATTCTATGAACGGCTACACAGGGCGACAGTCAGCGATCGTGCAGGTTACGAACGGCTACCGGCAGCGCCGCCAGCTGAAGCGTGAGATCGAGCTCCGCGCACTTGGCGAGGCCGGCGCACACGAGCAAGTGAAGTGGCGGCAGCGACGGGACGCCCAGCAGCGACAAGCGCTCGAGCTGTCCGTAGTGGGTTACATGGCCAAGGAGCTAGAACTTTGCATGAGCGCCCACATGTCCACTGCCTCGACGCCGTTGGTACCTCGACCATCGCGTCCTGTGGCGGCGACGTGCATTGCAGCGACAGCGTCCGGAGCACGCACGACTCGTCGATCAACGCCGAGTTGAGGCTGCTTACAAAGGACGCGCTCTGCAGAAGCGTGGACGCGTCGAGCAACAGGTGCTGGAGCGTCGACAACGACCGAAACGCGATTGTGTCTGGTTGATGGGTCTGAACGTGGCGCAGGTCCAGTGTGTGCAGCGAGAGTGTCTAGAGCAAAAAAATGTGAGAGATGTCCTCTGCCATTGCAAGTGAAATGTGAACCGGTAGCAACGCCCAAAGGGCCTCGAGAAAGCTTCCGTCCAGCGTATTATCGGCAAGGACCAGCGTCTCGAGAAGCCCGCCACTGTCTTCCAGCCCCTGCAGCAGATGCGGCTCGAGGCCCTCCAGTCGACTAGTACGATCGCGCGTGTCCAGCATCGACGTACAAGAGTAGATACCATTGTTCGAGATGGAGGCTGCGGAGGCGCGGGCAGAGCTTCAGCACCGCCGCGAGCTCCGGGCCGTGCGCATGCAAGCTGTTGTACGAGAGGTCGAGGCTTTCGAGCAGCGGGAGCGTTGCGACCGACGCCTACACACCTCCGTCTTTCACACAAAAGGTTTGTATCCCATCGCTTTACCAAGAGACTCGAGAACACAGTGAACGGCGTCAGAAGCCCGCGCAAGTCGAGCTCGATGACGTGGCGAAAGCACGCGTTCTGGGCGAGATGCGTGCTGAGCGACGAGACCTCGGCCACCGAGAGGGTCATGTCCTGCATGACCCACTTGGCCACATGCAGGTTCGCCGACGTGGCGATGTTGGCGACCATCGAGACCTTGTCGATACTCGAGGCACTACTGCTCCACTCGATGAGGTGAAAGCGGACGGCGCACGGCACACTCCCGGCCGGGATGGGAGGCCCCATCAGTTTGAGTGCCGCTAGAATCGCATGGACCGTCGACTGCGAGTACGCATCGAGCGCCGACGTAACCTAGACGCACGCAATCTTCGCGGGCGTCGTTGAGGACACATACCTCTTTCTGGACAGCTTGCTGGAGCGGCAAGCATCGGCGCTTGACCCGAGCGTCCGGCAGACTCGGTGCACTATCCACGGGCGCAAGCCCCAGTACTTCGTTGTGGAAGGCTTCGGTCGTGCGTTCACGCTCGTCGACGTCGACACCAAAGCTCTTTTTGAGGTCGTTGAGACTCGGCGCGTCATTCGTCTCCTCGGTGATGGGCCTAGTATCAAAATGGTATCGAGATGTTATCGAGATGGTATCACGATGCTTGTACCGCGGCGTCGGCTTCTTGACGGGCGGCAGACTCTCAGTGATGGCAAAGGAACGCCACGGCTCGGCGTCTGGAGCACAGGCGCAGACTGCCATAGACGTACAGATGCGACGGCTTGTGAGGACGATGTCGATCCCATCCTTGATGACGAGCTCGACGTGGAGGTCGCCGTGGACGACGATCGCGCAGCTCGAGTAATAAGTGCTGCGCATGCTTTCCATGGACCGCTTGCACTCGAAGAGACGCTTGTCGAGCGGCCCGATGGTATCGCGGTCGAGAATGTCAAACTGCGATTCGAGCATATCGAGCTGCATCGGCTTGCGCTTCTTGAGCTGCCGATGGATCTTCTCGAGGTCGTTGATGAGCACGTTGGCGTCGTCAATGCCAAGGCCTACACGCAGCATGGTTCGCCCATCATTGATACTGCGTAAGATGATGGCCTACCGTTGGTCGTCGCGTTGGCGTGCACTGTCTTGGTCAGCGACTTGTACTGGATGCGGGCGCTGCTGCGATGGCGCAGTTCGCCCCGCCGAATCTGCACGCCCAAGTCGACAATGCGCAGGTACTATCGCGGCGCAGTCAGCGGCCCTGGTACGCACATGGCATGCGGATGTGTACAAGGAAGAACCATTGCTCGACGCCGCGCGGCGTCCGGTTGCTCGCAACGGACGCTTCCAGCGTCGCAATTGCGGTCTCGTACGTGGGCACAATCGCCTCGAGGGTCGCGTAGATCGTGCGCAGATGCTCTTCGCGGCGCGCCTTCTTGGCGACCAGCTCGTCCTTGCCCATGTTGTTGCGATCTTGCAGCGTATGTATTCCTAGAGGTTTTAAGAAACGTATTGTGGGAGGTTTTGAGTATCCTCCAATGAAAACACCGCAAGTGGCACATCGCAAGGCCATTGGATAAAAAGTGCCACGTCGATTGACTGGCGACTACAAATCGCTGGTCCCGGCGGCTCGGGTTGCGCCGCGGCAACATAGTTTGCAATTTGCCTTTAATTGAAGATGCCTGCTGTACGCTGCTGCTGCTGAGACGCACCGGATGCTGACGACGCCTATGATGTAGATCCACCAATACCAAGTCGTCGGCCGCAAGGCCCCCACTGAGTCGGACCCGAACCCGCCTGCCTTCCGCATGAAGCTCTTCGCCCCCAACGAGGTGCTCGCCAAGTCGCGCTTCTGGTACTTCCTCCACCAGATGAAGAAGATGAAGAAGACGACGGGCGAGATCCTCTGCCTCAACGAGGTACGTGCCTTCGCTGCCCGATGTGGTCTCGACTGAGACGATGGGTGTGACATCATCATCATCATCATACTATCCTGCGTGCTGGAGCGATGGCGCCGGGAGGTGCCCTCTCGCTTCAGCGGCCCCATCACTGGGGCCTAGACGCTTGCCTGCCACGAGACCTAACGGTCCAGCTTGCAAACCGTTGAATTCTCGCGGCGAGACCGTTGTGTGCACTTCTTCCGCCTTCACATGTCGCGCCTCGGCGGTGTCACCATAGCATGTGGTCACCCTGACGCGCGACTGGCGATGACTTGCAGTAGCCTGGTTCTCGCTGGTGACGACGACGGCGATATGTGATTGATTGCGTCCGCATCATCCTACCTCGCTCGCTCGATCCATCACGCGATCGAACCTTCGTGGCTCACGCTAGTATTTCTCTAGCTTCGTGAGAAGAACAAGCGCATCGTCAAGAACTACGGTGTGTGGATCCGCTACAACTCGCGCTCGGGCACGCACAACATGTACAAGGAGTACCGTGATGTGACCCTCTGCGGCGCCGTCGAGCAGATGTACGCCGAGCTTGCCGGTCGCCACCGTGCTCGCCCGCGCTCGATCCAGATCATGCGCACGGCCATCCTCGCCGCCAAGGACTGCAAGAACGCCCAACACGCTTCAGTACCACGACAGCGCGA